CTCGACGACAAATGAGCCGTGCTCGCTCTTTGCAGACTCTTTTCTTCCCCTTCTTTCTATGTGCTTCCGGCTGTGAGCAGATTGTGATAATTAAATATGCATTGTCAAAGGAATAATCCACTAAACTTAATCTTAATATCTATGTATATTGTATATTATATGAATATATATAATATATGTATATTATAAGTAATATAATTTGCCAAAATGTTATTTAATTTATTAAAGAGTTATTTAGAGTTATATGTTTTTAAATAAATACAAGCTGATTAAAATTATTTAATAATTTATAATAATAAATATACACATAGTAACACATATATGTATTTATGTAAAAGTTAAATAATTTTGATCAACTTATTTTTATGCTTAATTGATATCCATGGATTCAGTGTACTATAAATTAATATATCTTTGTTTAAAATAATTGAACAATTTTTTTTTAAATTAAACATTTGAGGAATATGAAAAAAGTTAATGTTTGTTAAGAACAAAAAGAAATTTGAAGTTTTTATAATATACAGAATATTATATTCTGCAAATATATCTAAAAGATATAGTGATCCAGAAACGAAATATTACCACAACAGCTGACATGATTTTCTTTTGGGATGTGGATAACTACATCGAGTGTGCACGTCAGTAGTGCGTTTCGCGCGAAGTGAATTAGAGACGGTACAGTTTTAGCCGACAATTCTGCAGTACGACTATAGGCGAGGAAGCCACGAAAAAGGCGCGAGAAACGCGACAATTACGTCGCCATCTGACAATTAGTAGCCAGTAAACGGCGCTTCTTGGCATAATGTCGCCGCGAATAGCTTTTGTGGAATATTTATTATCGCAATGCACGAGAAACCACCTGAACCATAAGTTGAACTTTCCCGTTTTTCATCCCGTAAGTCGAATGGTTTTCTATTAAAATAACTTATGCTAATGGATTTAAATAATTATGGAATAGATTGTTTTATTTTAAGGATTTTATAATTGTCAGTTTTTATTCTCAATTTTATTCTAATTTTTTAGGTATATTAATAGTCAATTTTATATTTACAAACGATTTAAAATCGTTTTAAGAGTACAGTCTCAAAATGTCATAAATCAATCACTAATAAAACTATATTATCAGCTTAAGATATTACTTGAAACTTAAAATAAGAACGGATTACTAGCCTTATAAAATAGATATAATTATAATTTCAATTTTCAACTTGTAATCTTAGTATTATTTACATATAATTGATAAATAAATTATATTTTTTTGAAATTAATATTTCAAATTAATTAGCACTGCTATTTAGAAAAAAAAATCATTTAAAAAACTGTTGAAAAATTCTTGAGATTCTTATTTCAACGACGATCAATATTAGTACACTGAGAGAAAAATGTTTAGTATTTGTAATTATAATTACGTGTTACTATAATTATGATTATTACTGTTATAATAATAATAACAGTAACTATGTATATAGTTCTAGCAACAAATGTATATAGTTGGCAACCTAAAATGACTAAAATTATAGTTATTATAACCATAAAATAATTGAAATTACCATAAATATGTCAAAATATAACTATAAAATTATAATCACTTGAATCATTTTTATGGTAATTTCTCAACTATTTTATGATTATAATGATTATAATTATATATAATTATATATAATAATAGTCATTTTAGATTGCCAACTATATACATTTGTTATTAGAACTATATACATAGTTACTGTTATTATTATTATAGCAGTAACAATCATAATTATAGTTACAAATACCAAACATTTTTCTCTCAGTGTAGCATAATATTCTCAGCGTTTGTCGAAAGCGTGAAAGCTCAGTCGGATGTTGCGATGCCACACTTTTTCGTCGGATGACGAATGGGCAGATAATTAGAAGATGATCCTCCGACGCTTAAGAGACCGGCGGTCTTGTTTCTAACCGCCTAAAAGCAAGCCCGAAGACATTTTTCATGACACGCGGCTCGACGTCATGTACGGCAAGTCTTGTAAGCCGGGATAAATATAAATATAAACAACTCGACGTACAAAAAGTCACGAGATTGATGAGAAAGAGGATTCCATGAGGGTAATTGGAGTCCGCTCGCACTTAACGGCATGGGTTCATACATATTATTCCCTTCTTTTAAAAGCGATTAAAAGGATAAAGATATGGTGTCCGCGAGTACAGCAGGTGAATGAATGATGACATGATTTCTATGCTCGCATCAATTATTTTTATTTGGTTGTGATACTGTCTCTTTCTCATGTCGAGGAACTTGCGTTTTATAATTTATAATTTGCAGTACTTAATAATCGAGTCATATTTTGGATGGTTTACTTCCGATATATGACATTCATTTATCAAAAAAATATTTAAATAATGCGTCGCATAAATATTGTCGATACATATGCCACGGAAAAAACGATTTTGCTGAAGTATCTAAAAATTTAGTTAGATACATATTTGAAAGTAATGTCTGTTGAATCGTTAAAATAATTATGTAGCAAACTCAAACATAATGAGCAATGTTGCAAAAAAATTTTAATATTCTAGCAACCAGTTTGAGTGTCTCATATAATTACTTTGATAATCTAATAAAATTATTTTCAGATTTATATTTATAGTTAAATTGTTAGTTTACTAATTATCCATTAATTGCTTACAGAATCATTTGAAGAGTAAAGAACTTTTATTTTAAAGAATTTCTGTTTTAACAGAGCTGTTTTGTTCGTGTTACTTATTCCGATATATAAGGGATGGAATATTTTTACAGAGGCGTGCACCAGCAGCAGTGGCGCGAATTCAACTACGAGCGCGGACAGGGATATCCAGGAGAAAACTGTCGCCGCCATTAGCGACGATGAAAGGAAGAAGAGACCACGCACAGCGTTTACCGCCACGCAAATTAAATCCTTGGAGGCGGAATTCGAAAGAAATAAGTATTTGAGTGTGGCAAAACGGTTGCAGCTGAGCAAAAATTTAAAGCTCACGGAAACACAAGTAAATATTTTATTTTCCATAATTTCTTCTTAAATTAATTTTTCTTTTTAAAAGAAACTTATTTTATAATATTATATATATTACAATTTTCAAGGCTAAATATTAGCTGTCTTCTCACTCTAATTGTTACAAACACACTATTTATAATTCCATCGTTCTAACCAGTCCAGTATATTCCTATATTAAGCTTCATGTCATAAACAGTAAACAATTATAATACGAAATTGGATGATAATAAGTCTAATTAAGTAAGAGAAATCCTATTTTCGGTCAAAGAAAATCATAATGTACTTAAATATTTCAGTGTAAATTTATATACATATCCAAACCATGCATCGAAATATTTCTCTTGAAACATCATGGACAGAATTAGAATAATAGATAAACAGTGAACTCTATAACAAACGTACTGGAAATCTTGCAACTGAGCCTGAGGATTGTTTTCCCCTTGCAAGCTTTTCAATATATTACAGAGTTCACTGATCATAAATAAGTTTAATTGGAACAGAACGCAGAAGATCGAAATAGTTATACTCGAAAACAGGATATTGTACTCAATAAATCGCGATAATGAGTTTGACTTCCGTAGACCTTCCTCAACACCTGAAGGAGTTTAACTCTGTTGTACTTCGAGTTCTTTAAAATCAACTAATTCTAAATTATGAGCCTATGGAGCACCATATGTGCAGGCGCCAAGTCGTGGCGCCATGGGGGGGAGGATCGTCCTTTAAAACCAATTAGCACTTCTACCCTTCTTTCTCGTGAACTGATATGGAAGGAAGCTTTTTGTCATGTACTTAACCTTTTCAGACGTTTTTTTTTGTCCGTAACCGGAACTCGATCATAGTATTTAAAATAAAATAAAAAGAAAGCTTTACGCAAAAATATTTCGTATATTTAAAGCAAAATATTAAAAATTATTTCATAAGTTATCAATATTATATTTACAATAATTTAATAGGTTTCATTCTTTAATCTAAATACTTTCCTTTTTTTCGTCGTGAATGAAAACCGTGTAGCTACTAAATATTACAATTTTCTTTTTTCGATATCTTGCTCTTATTCCTGCTTCGTCCACAATCATGCCACTTTCTGTAATATTATCTTCTAATATTAACCAGTCCAGAAAGAGCAGTCTATAATTTTCTAACATGACGATTCCTCCGCAAAGCTCGCAAAGTGCAATGGTTGCGTAAGTCTCGGCAATGCACTTTGTGGCGTGCGCTTAATATTCGCCCGCGCTTTAAATTAATTAATTTATGATCCGCACCCTCAGAATACTCGCCATTGCAGAGATTGTGCCACGCCGTCATCGCACAGTTACTTGCCGGCAATTATTGCCAGCGCCGGTCGAAATATCGCGAACGAGCCGGATAATTATCTCTGCAATCGCGGTCGAAAGGAAGAACGATCGGACGACAGATCAGAAGCAAGAAAGAGACGCGTCGTGTCGCAGACATAACTGTCACAATATTTCTCAGAGTTAACGAGCCAGTTCGGGAGAGCCCCTATTTTCCCTTTCTCACACGTTCCAGCCATCTCGTACGTTTCATCGTCGCTTGCATCCGCCGCGGAACAAAATGTACCGAGCGACGGCTGTTGCGCGCCGTCGAGGCGACGAACCGGAGAGGCGTCGATTTTTTAATTAGAATACGTCGTCGGCTCCTTATGTTCGCGAACTGGCTGGTAGACTCTTTGAGAAATTTTGATATAAGAGATGGCATTATTTTTCTACAATATGCTACTGTTTATTAAAATTGGACTATAAAAAGAACAACATTTTTTAGCAAGAACAACATTTTTCATAGATCTAAAATATATAAAATCGATCTAGGTAGAAATTTAAAATGTATTCATTAATATTAATAAATCTCGTATTAATTGATAGACAATTATATAATATTTTATTCTATTTTATTTTTATTTATGTTTATTTATGTTAATAGTAGCATATACATATTATCAAAAACATTAGAACTTATATGATTGGAAGCACCAGCAATAACTTTAAATATAAATTTATAATTAATACTTGATCTCAGTTAGCCTCCTAAATACTTTAATTAATTGACAAACTTCCATATATTTCATGCATCACGCGTAAACCTCTCTTAACTTTTACAGATAAAGATATGGTTCCAAAATAGACGGACTAAGTGGAAAAGAAAGTACACTAATGACGTCGAGCTATTTGCGCAGCAATACTATTCGAGCTTAGGAATTCCAGCACCACGACCAATTTTTGTCGGTGATCGCTTATGGTATAGATTTAATAAAAAATTTCCAATAGTTTCCAAAAAAGGCTTTCTTCTTCTTGTAAAGATTACATTATTCGCCTATAATGGTTGAAGCTGGATCTTTAATACTTAAATAATTCAAATGTGAAATATATATATATATATATATATATATATATACATATATATCATATTTTTAGTCTTTCGAACTGCGCACCGAATTGATTTTCCGGACTTATAAACGCTATTAAACTACTGTAATAATATCACAAATTAAATTAAATTGACAAATAATTTTTAATAATTTAAAATGCTCAATCAGGCATCATATTAGAAAGATGTTAATATGCTGAAAAATTGTAAATTTATTGCAAAAAATATTACCTCGGCCGGGAATCGGATTCAGATCTCTTGCATACCGTTCAGCGCACAGTGAAGTGAAACGTAGAAAAACGGACATAACTCGAAGAAGAAATTCTTCATTTTGTACATTTTATTTATTAAAAATATTTATTAAGCGGATAATGATGTTCCGCTGAGACGACGGGGGGGGAGCGAAACATTTGTAAAGAGTGATCCAAGTCTAGGGTCCAGTTGTTCTATCTTGTAGTAAATCTTATCTGTTGAGTAAATAGCAAAATTACATTCATATGCGCGGGTTACCAGATTTATCTAACAGGTAAAAATAAACCAAAAGGTGGAACACAACCGGTCCTAGAATCAGAATTAAGTGGAGAGCACTTGCTCAAATTCTTACACAACAAATAACACATAAAGCTTAAGAAATTCAATCAATCAAAGTTCTTTATTTTATGAAAAGGAAGGAAACGAAGGATTTTGATTGGTATATTTTCTTATGCATTACGTGTTATGCGTTATGCAAATGTCTGTGCTCCCCGTCTTAATCTCAGAGATTTATATGATTTTGATATTTGGTAATTCGTTATCTTAATTACTAAATGGAGCTATTTTCGGCTCCTTAAACGCAAAAAATCGCGTTGCGGGTCGGATTTATAGATCGTGAGTTAATCGCACCGAGCGACAAGCCACTTGACGCTTCGGTATTCTAAAGGCATAGGACTCTTACAAAGAATGCAAGAGAGAAGATTCGGTCGAGGTAATATTTTTCGCAATAAATTTATTTTCAGCATCTTTTTCAGCATTTTAACATCTTTTTAATATAATGCCTGATTGAGCAAATTATTAAAAATTAATGTTGAATTATTTAAACATTAAAGATCCAGCTTCGACTGTTATAGGTATTTAATTCTATTTAGTTCTTATTGATTGTGTTCTCACAGTCTAATTAAAGTAAAATTTTTATTGTTTATATATTATTTGTTTTGCGAAATTTTATTACTAATACATTTGTATAAATTTTTGCGAATCTTTTATGGAGGAAAATATACTTAAAAATAAAAAAGTTTTTTTATTTTTTTAAATAATAGAAAATAGTAGAACGGAAATTGATATAATTTGATCGATTAATTTTAAATATTTATTAATTATAATTTCGTCAAAAGTTATGAGAAATCAAAGTTACAGTAAAATACTTGACTTTTTGAATTATAATTAAAATTTAAAAAAATTATTTAAGGAAAAAAAATTGATCCAACTCAATTAAGAGAAACAATAAAAAAGATGACACAATAATTCCGTAATATTAAAAACAAATACAAAGATGAATAATTTTGCTTCGCAAATACTATCTCCTTCTTAATTCTTTAAATATAAATTACGTTTTGTATACACTAACATATATGTTTTCTTGCAGGTTTTTCAACTATCCGGGACAACCACAATCGGGAATACCATTTCCGCAGCATTTAACACCGTTGCCATTATCCCCTACATTACCTATTATTCAACCATTACCCAGTAGTCTATCGATGAGACAACAAACATCCATCTTTCAAAACGTACCAACTAGTCACCTCTCGCATCATCTAACTCAGAGATTGGACTTCAGGCATCATGATCCTTAGCTTTTGGATAAATGCGTCTCCAAAATTATTGGTAATAATCGGATCATTTAAAATTAATTAATAATTCTTTACGATACGCAATACGAGGCTATGAAATCAGACTTGTTTGCTAGTGATAACGATCGTTACAAGTAACGTACTTTTTTTTTATATCGCATACTACATCAAGATATCGATTACATAATATATGTATAACCTCATCATTATTTTAATTTTTCATTAAAGTTAAATTATGTGAAATATCTATATTTTCGTTAAACATATAGATTTATGAATATTTTTTTATTTTAAAATAAATTTGAATAAGTTCGTATGCTTGATGAGAAATAAATGAAAGAAATGACATTTTGAGCAATTCATGTTTTCTTACTCTCATGGAGCAATTGAGATATATTTTTTTAAACAAATAAAATTAAGTTTATTGTGGTTACTTCTTATTATCGCCAAATATACACAAGGTTCATCTTCAAAGGATTAAATTATTTCATGATAAGATATTGAAATGTAAAGATATTAGATTATAATTTAAATATATTATTTGAGTAGGAAATATAACATATACTAATATAAATAAACCGCTTTTAGCACTTTTTGAGCAAATGTATTTGTTACGAAATTCAGTGATGAAAAATATGTGTAAAGTAAAAATAATAAATTGCTAGTAAATTTATATAATTATCTTTTCACGTATGCATTTATAATAAAGATATACATATAGTATAAAATAATCTCTTAATATTATATGTAAACTTATATATACAGGGTTGGCCATATTCGACGGAAAGATCTGGCAACACTTTTTTTTTTAAATGAACAGCAAAAAATGTGTTTTTTTCCCATGATTGAAAAAAAAAACATCTTTCCGTCGAATATGGCCAACCCTGTATATAATATTTGTAACTTGACTTTTTTCAAGGAAAATGAACAAAAAGAAATATTTACATATTTTTAAATAGAGACGAATACTGCTGTAAAATCCAATGTATAAGAATGAAAAAATATAAAATATAAAATTTAGAAAAAATAAAATTTCAAAATATTTTATACAATTTTTCCCATACAAGGAATATAATTTTTTTGTGTAGGATTATATAAGAAATATTTATTATTATACAAAGTTTATCACAGAACAGAGGGAGATAAAATTTTATTAACTCCCAAAATTTTGTCATCGTGAGCTGCCTGATCCTGAATAATTTTTGCATATTTTTCATTATCCTGTAAATCCTCTTCAGCCAGCATTTCCTGCATTCTCTGTTTATATCTAAAATTTTCTAAACTTATACGAATGATCTTAAAAAATAATATTGAACTTATATATAAATATACTTACATTTCACTATCAGGATTATTTTCTTGATTTCTGCATTTATCTAATTTCTTCTCTAAAACTTTTACTGCTTCTCGTGAAGGTGGTTCCACACATTTAGCCATCGAACGTATTTCTATAAGAATTGATTTGTAATTATAAATAGTTTACGCAGTTAGAGTATATACAAATATCATGCATGTACATAAAATATAATTACTTCGCACAGCTTCTATAATCCCACCCAATTGTTCTCTCGAAAAAAGTATGTCGGTAACATAATTGTCTAAGTTTGCAGAAGCTCTGGATGCTGCATGCAAAGTTGCAGCCAATGCAACTTGACTTGGAGCATAAAGAAGAACACTGTCTGTCAGAAAAATTCTTTCCAAGAATTCATCTATGTGTTGCCTTAATTTTTCAGGATTTTCCAAAGATGTATACCTTGTCTATAAAAACGTGCTTATTTATTTCTGTCACACAGGAAAACATACATCAATGATATTCTTATATCAAAACCTTTATGTCAATCATCAATCCTTCCACAGGTCTAAATGGATTATGAACAGTAAGATTATAATTCAACTGTTGCATGAGAAGTAATTCATTATTAAGAATTATGTCAGATGCTTTTTCTCTATCTCCCTTAATATTTGCTACAAATTGAGATATAGAGACATTAAATTCTTCAACCTAAAATAGAGTATTTTTCATATGAAGACTGAAATTACAAATGACTACGAAAAAAATATATCAAGGAGAATAATTACTTTGCACGCTAGATAAACACAAGTGACCAAAATCTCTTTTGGATGATAATCCATCACACTGTTTCTGAGATAAAATCTTTTAAAGTAATGTAAGGCAGTGGCGACAGTAGCACGAGGCATTGGTGGATTGAATCGACGACAGAAGTCTCTTAATTGTAATTCATAAAAACGGAGTAGTGTACGCTCTTCTGAATGCGAGAGAAAATATTCCTCCTTTTCTTCTGGCTGTGTTATAATTAAACTGATGAAACACTTGTAACTGTAGCATTTGTTATTATACTTTCGTAATTGTATTAATTATTATTTTAATCAATTTATCATTAAAGAGATATTTAGGAAAATATGTAGCAAATTGTGTTGTATTAATAATAGGCAATATTTTATACACATATACATATGTTTATTTGTGTCTACATAACCTAGAATTTCATCGACAATGTTTGGTCTCGGTAATCACAAGTACAACAGAAATAGATTCGCAGATATTGTTGTTTGATAAAGTAAGTTCTAAGTGAGTAGTTTTGAAAAAGTAGACTCACAGTCATATTTGCACCATGCTTTGCGATAAAATCAGCATTAGTTTTCTCCCTCAACATGGTTAAATCGCTTTCATCGCTAAACATCCAATATTTCCGTTGCGAGCTACATGGAAACATCTTGGCGATACGAGTAATAAAAAAGAAAAAATAAAACAAATACAAATTGCAATCAATTATTGGAATTGTAACACACGAATCAACACCCTTAAACTATAAATATAAACTAAAGAATCAGACAAGCAACTCCACCATACGGCAACTGTCAAATTAAATGGAAGAGTAAAGATTAAAATTTGATTCCAATTTTTTGTTTAAATATAACAATAATGTATACATTTTATTGATGTAATTATATATACATATATATATGCAATTAATTGAAATGCAATATCTTGATTGCACAAAATAACAAAAGCATTATCATTTGCTCAACAGATACTACTTTCTAAGAAACAAGTTGAAGAGATCTGTTCTAGAGTGCAGCATGAGTCATATTTCCGAGCTTCTGACCGACACGCACTTGTGTGCCTTATTTAATTATTTTCATCCCTTTATCATTGAATTCTTGTGTGAAAAGTATTGTGCCTATATAATATTTACATTCAAATTTTTATAATTAAAATTATAGATACATAAAATTATTCTAGATAAAAAAAATACATATAATTGTTAGATCTAAAAAAAATTGTTTTTATTTTTTGTTGCAATTTTGTTGCATTTTTTATTATGTTTTTCAATAGATTTTCATTGCATTTTTTGTATTTGGAATTTTACGATTTACATATAAAATTCATTAAATAACAATTAATCATTACGTATAATTTTGTTATGCAATTTTTGAAAATAAGAAAATAGATTATTATAGTTTAAGATATGTATACGTATTTTTTTGTGTTTATATATTAATTTGTAACTATTTTACTGAATACAAAAAAGAAAAATTAACTTTTTCAACAATAAAAATCGTATTTTTTAAATATAATTATAAAAATTCTAATCATTAATATTACTGATTAAAAGCTATAATAACAATGCTAATCCATAATAAGTAGAGTCAATAGTTGTCTAAACGGTCTAAATCCCAGTGAGAAATGACAGCGAAATCGACATCGCTTCGATGTCGATTCGACATCGATTCCATTGTCATTTCTTACTAGAAATGTCAAGCTAGTTGTAGCACACATTAGAAAAGGATCGCTGCGTTTTCTGGCAACCAGTACGTTGCGGGTAATAAACAAGATCACGGGACCGGGGGTCCCGATGGCGGGGCATGAAGGTAAGGGATGAAGGGAGGAGACGGGAGGAGATTTTAATATGGACGCCCCCGCAAGCGGTTATGCGTCCGATCTGAGTAGGCGTTTCTACGACCCTTTGTCAACCGACAACGCCGCTGCATCTTATCGCGCGATCGTAGTCGGGGATCTCCCCATTCCGCCACGTTCGGCCCTCGAGGCCATCGCTGTCGCTGCCGCTTGTTCAAGCGAAGAGACGGGCTCCTTCCTCCCGTTACATCGGCGGTTATAACTCTCTGCGTCGTTTTTTCCACGTTGGTTTACGTCGCCGCAACTTCGTCGTCGCCGTCACATCGCGATCTGGCCCGCCGATCGTCTGGTATCGCAGTTGCCATCCCACATCGATCAGAGATGGAAACTGGTTCAGATACCCAGATTTACATACGAGGATACGATACGCGTGGATAGAGGCGCAAGTCTGATTTATGACATTCGATATTTTTCGAACGGTTAATTGTATTCGGCAGCGGCAATAAATCGGTTAATATTTATGGATTCGACTACCTGCGAATATCGATGATTTATGTTTAATTAGAGATAGGAGAAATTACAGTCTTTCCACTTTTATGCATGCGATATAACAGATAGAATGCATCTCAGACTTTTTCATTATTTTCTCTTATAATCGATAAATATTATATATTATTTTCTCTGATATGTTTTTATTATAAAAATTCAAGTTGATCTAATAAGGATGTGTCAAAACATTATCAAAAATAAAAAAATTTTAGATTCCATTACAATTTAAATATCTGTGTAAAATTTGAACACATTCTCTTATTAATTTAAAAGTTTTTTAATTTTTTTGTTAATTTTTTATTCTTATGTAAAATTGCGTTTTGTAAAATTTATTTGCAAATTTAATGAAGAAATAGATTTAAGAATTAAATTAAATTTTAAACATATACTGATCAAACAATAAATATTCGTGCTAAAGTTTATTTGGATCCAATTATTCGTTTAAAAGTTATTGATTTAAAACTACAGAGAGAGAAAAATATAATCATTTTGCTGCATAAAATCATTGATGTAAGCCAAATTATTCTTTGTTTTATTTTTTGTAATTGGTTTCAGAGCGTATTCATGGGTCATCAAAATTTTTGAATAATATTGACTGATATTAGCTATTTTAGATGATTGTATAGCCAAAAGATACTGTACAGTCAAAACATCCTTAAATATTTATGAAAATTGGTTGCTTCATTTTTTTACGGTGCATCGATCGTTTTTCTAACATTGTGGTACATAACTGC